ACTCTTACTGAACAAACATAGCTTTGTTCACTTGATTGTAGGATTACAATAGGACACATTTTTGATAACATTTTTACCTATCATAATTTTTACTTTTAGTACTCGAGGCAAAATCTACTATTTTATATATTTTTAGCCGACTTCGAAAAGAAGGAGTACAATTCGATTGTATATGTTTTTATGTGTGTTACCGCGTAACTCCGTCCTTGGTGCTCCGATTTTTGTTTTTTTTTTGATCGAAAGATTTTGCATGCAGGTTGGTCCCGGTTTCGGTCTAGTTCTACCTTAAACGTAAATAGGTCTAAGATATCAGGCCGACACCGACGCCGAAATAACAATAATTGTAAAGTATAGACAATAAGAAAGAAAAGAAATTTTTCTATAAATGCACCGATGACCAGCATTTGCCAAAGCCTTGATCAATAAACAAAATACAAGAAATAAACTTTTAAGCAAACAGTATTTATTTTCTAAATGTAAGTTGAGTAAAATATTGCCGAGCGTGATTAGAAACAAGCGAAACGTTGTCCGACATATTGGAATAGCACTTTGCAATACAATGCCTGAAATGTAAACGCTATGGGAACTTATCGTTCTTTCTACAATTGAGGTCGTATTCCAAATGGGAACTGGTTCATTATTCATCATTCAGTTCAGCGCCGCTCTGTATGCGGAGCCTCATCTTTTGTCGGCTTACTAAAATTGACCGCATTTACTCAGACCTAAATCACAAATCATTTTAACAATGTGAATTTCTTTATTTTACTATTTGATATAGACCATACACTTTCATTGATAAACCAAATGGCCTCTTTCCATAGGAATCTTACTAATATTATGAATGCAAATGTTTAGAGGGATGTTATTTATGCAAGGATCTCCCTGAAATTTGGCATAGATATAAAACATAGAGTAATAAGTTTTTTTTTAAATTCCGCGCGGACTCGCGGGCTATACTTGCCTACAATAAATTAAAAGGTATCAGATGCGTTACCTACCTTTAATGGACAGAGGAGGCTTCGCATTGAAATACGATATTTCCACTTCATGTACGTTCTTCCGCCTTATTCGATTACTTAATATCTAAAATACGAAGTGTGTAATCGAGTCGAATTTACAGTATGGAGTATTATTTGATAAATAAGGTATAAGTTTTACTTAACTACAAAAACATCACAAAACCGATACATCCATTAAGTCTAGTCTAGGGACTTAACGACGCGAAAACTTTGCACCATCTAGTCGTTTACCTTTTACCGAAACAAGGGATAATCCAGCTTTAGTCTGTAACGAGCTAAATATATGGCATTAATCTTTTAAATAGTTTACTACAAAATGCTCGGAGCGTCAAATATAAATCGATTTCTTTTAAACACTTTACCGATAGTATTATCGCCTATTTTTTAGATTCTTTTTTTTAACAGAAGGGGCAAACGAGCGGCGGAAACATTTATGTGTGTATTTACGTGTTCAAAGACGCCCATGGACATCAGCAATACCAGAGAAACCGCGGATGCGTTACCGGCGTTTGAGATGGTGATTCACTTCTATTCAGCGTTTACTAAGGGTTACTTTAGTTTTTGATACAATGATTTGTTTGTTATGTTTCATAGCAATACGAACTTTGGACTCATTTTCTCTTTTAACAATTAAATACCATAGTAGCATAACGGTGGATTAGGTTAACTTGACTGATAATCTAATATTTTAAATGTTTAAACAAATTAAAGAGAACATCAGTTTAACGAAGGCACTTAACCTTTGTCGAGTCGATTTACTAAAATAGTAATAACAAAGTAACTCGAATAGCCGAAATTTAACCTTTTTATCGCTCGAAACACTTAGCAGGATTAAGTAAAAAGTGTAAAAGAAAATGAACAGAAATTAAAGTCCGGAAAGTTTGGATTACACTAAAATTTAATATCGGCCGCTGGAAAGTGGGAGGACACCACATTTTATGACTGCAATTACTACCACCCTTCATCTTCAAAATACCGTAGATTGGTTTTCCCTTTTATACGACCAGCAATTTCGGTTATTGCAGTCGCGCTCTCTGAATAATTCCATTCATTGCTTTTGCTTCTTAACTAGTTAACTCGTTCATATCCCAGAGGATTAAAGATTTAACTCACAGCGATTTAACCTTTGGTAATTCAGCTACGAACAGTTGTTTGAACATTCGCTATCTTACAAATAATATAATAAAAATTTTCAGGCCATAAGTTGCAACTCAAGTGCTAGAAGTTGTTTGATTACTTTGGAAAAAATAAGGAAATTTTTGCTTATTGGTAACCCATGAAATTTATCGGCGTTTTTGGCATTGAAAGTGGGGACACTTTCAATGCCAAAAATCTGCCTTGATCCTTGTGGGACTACATTTAGAGTTTATTTGAAATCATGGAACGGTATTTTCACGTCAAGACTTGTGTATGTAATTTAAATTAATTCAAAATGTAATATTGTTCTGAGGTTTAAACTTCCAACAAAGTTAAAATATAAGATAGAGATAACTTCAAGCGAGATTTATAAAACGCAATTTGCTTCGAGGTTTAAAACATAAATGAAATTAATGAGCTTCATTCGTGATTTCACGAGAAAAATTGGAAGATTCCTGGCAGCCGGTGTGGGTAAGGAAAAAAATGTTTTAGATTAGAAAACCTGTGGGAAATTTACGATGCTCGTCGACAGCAGTAGAAAGTCTGATATTACAATCTACCATTATTCATGAACTCACCTAGATATACACAGTTTTACGCCAGAGGCCGCCTACGTGACCTGATTGCTGACTCGCAGACTCAAAGCTTTTTTTCTAAGAACAGGTACATAAGTCAACGAAAGGTAAACTTATTTTGTTTGCGAATATGATCACGTCGATGTCCAGCTTGTTGAAAGGAATATCACTAATATTAATCCTTGTTGATAAGCGATGACGTAAAACATAACTTTTCGCTCTATAATGAAGTAAAGGAGTCTATTCATGAAGTGATTCAACGCGCTGGTATGTGGTAAGCACCAATCGTAAAACGAATCTTAACAATTTAAAAAAAGAACCTCCTCATCTTACTAATCTTACTAATATTAAAAATTTGAAAGTTTAGATGGATGGAGGAGGGATGTTTGTTTGAAGGTATCCCCGGAACGGCTAAACGTATTTTGGGAAAATTTGGCACACTTGTAGAACATAGTCTGGAAGAATACGGCTACTTAATTATGTTTTTTTTTAATACTGCGCGGACGGAGTCACGGGCACAGCTAAGATTTCTATAATTTAAAGAGTGGTGTTTTAAAATTGATAATTAAAATAAAGGATGATTAAAATTTCTTCGACTTAACAATTGAAAATACAGTTATTTCCGCAGGGTTTACGTATTCACAATCCATTGGGGCGTTACGACGGGTTCAGATATGAGACAGTTGGACTGACGCTATTCGTAATCAAGATAAACGAAACAGCCTCCATCCGAACGGGAAAAGTTTCATTACGCTGCCGCCACGCAAACGACAGGATTCGGCTGAATCACGATCCTCCCCTCCGGGAATTTATCTGTTTCGGAAAGATTCGCTAAAGTGTGCAATTTTGCTCCCTTTCGAAACGTCTTTTTAATTCACCAATTATTTGCTACGGTAGCAACTGCGAGATCAGAGGAAATGTTGTTTTAGAATTTCACGACCTGAATACCTTTAGAAGTATCAAAGTCTTTCGCATGTAAATACGTCAACAGACATCAACATTTAATTGGTCGCTGTGTTTTATGTCTAGGCCTAAGCTGTAAATGCTATTGGTTACTATACTTTAAACTACAATATTACTAATATTATAAATACGAATGTTTAGAGGGATAGATGGATATCGATGAATTTTGGTATACATATAGACCATAGTCTGGAAGAACACATAGGCGACTAATTTTGTTTTTTATTTTTTTAATTCTGCGCGGACGGAGTCACGGGCGACCACTAGTATTATCATGAATAGATAACGTGAACATCTTTTATATGATTTAGAACTGCCACGTTTTCAAACATCTATTCCATATTTAATACTCGGGGGTATGATGTAGTTTGTAATAACTATTCGTAGCGAAGTGTTTTATTACTGGGAATCACACGTCATAATCCTTTAGTGTCGATCGACGCATGCGCAATATGATACGCCAGGCGCCACCGCGTCGCCTCTCATCTCGCATCAATAAAGAAGCCAAATACCAATCAACATTGAATACACAACCTTTGATAATGTAAGAATTAAAGATTGACAATCATAAATATTCTCGTGTAAAAAATTACTAGTGATTTAGTGAATAATACCGTCTTTAAATACAATGATTGAAAGAGTAAGAAAATAATTTAGCTTAAACGAAAATATTTACTTTATAATTTAGCACAATGTAAATTATCGTTTCTAAATTACGCCCTCACTTTGGAAATCAAATTATTTAAATTTTAATTTATTATGTTAATTATATTAGGTAGTTACAACAAATAAATATTATTAAGCAACTGTAAGTAAAATTGATGTTAAATTATGATGAGGTCATCGAGTTTCGAAAGCAATTTCGTTCAATAAATATTAATGGCTAGCCAATACGGGACGCCTTTGTTCGCGGTCGCTCAAAGAGACGACAGATATTCAAAGGTCGACAGACGAATATTTTGTTTCTTCTATTGGGCAGATGATTTGAACATTGATGTCAACGACAAACTGGGGGTAAACAACCCCACGATTTTTTATTTATTATTCTTTATCTCATTATTGCAGGTTTTTTAACCAATTGTGTCACTATTAATAGGTACAGTGGCTTCATCTGACTGTATTTAACTTCTAAAGTTGAGTTTGTTTTTTGATGTTTCCAAAATTTTCTCCTGCAATTAAGGCTATTTTCCCGTAACTGATTTTTGATAAGACTAGCATCATTTAATAGTTTTACCCTAAATAGGTTGAAATGGAATACCTTGACAGAGATAGTATACATAAGATTTTATATAAACGAACAACGTACCTTTTTTGCATTCCTCAATATTTTCATCGGAGTTGTCGCCGCAATCGTTGTCTCCTTCACACAACCATGATATTGGTATGCACTTCCCATTCGCACATTGGAACTGCTTTTGCGAGCACACCTCTGTAATGAAAAAAGTTGAGCATTACTGACTTAGATTGACACAGCTATTAAACACAATTGTGTCTATGAATACATTGTTTAAAAGTAATTATCTCGGCAACATAGCGCCTGCGTACTCGTAGTATAATAGTATTCAAACTTTACAGTAGTTTGAGATTTCGCATGATAAGCTGAGCAAAACACAATTGTAGGTATCAAGAGCACTTAAAAGTAAGTGGTAGCGGAGCATGTATATCCCAGCGCTATTATCCACACTTCGTAGCCCACCTGCATTTATATCGCTCGGATCTTACCACGAGCCATCATAAAGTTTGAATCTTATAATACAGTGAAGTACCATTGATAAGAGAAACGACAAAAAGGATAAAGAACTATTCATATGTAAATAGTTACATGCGATTACAGTTGTATGTTAGTTTATATCTTTGTCCTAACAAACGTTCATACAAGAATTAACGAAGTCTTTGTTATTATAGTAAATAGACATAACAATTAGAGTTTATACATTCGTAGTAATCTAGCGCAATATTAAAAAAAACATACTTAGTTGAAAAAAAAATGATTTCAAATTATTTATCATGAAGTAGGTAAAAATTACTGTGATTTGTTACACTTTTTTTTATATATCTTATAAGGTGGCAAACGAGCGAGCGGCCATCGAAATCGCAGAAATAGCGAAGTGACCGTTGCCCATAGACATACGCAATTGCATATGCGTTGCCTACCTTTAATCGACGGAGAGGATGCACAGAGAGAAAACATTTCCATGCATCCTCTCATCCGGAAAATCCACTTCCACTTCCCATTCTTTCCTTATAAGAAAGAGGACTAAATTAGGCCTCTATGTGTGTGTAATGCGTGTTATTAAAGTAAAAGGATGAATTCTCTAACTTTCTATGTAACAAACTCAACTGAAATCATACAATACATATTGAGTACAATAACGAAAATCGTCGAACAAACTTGAGCAATATCTCAACTATAGCTATAATACGTGAAGAATACAATTCGACGTATATTGTCATGATCCTAAACAGGCCTTTATAAGTCCATTACGTAATGGACACGAGAAGTCAAGAACGGGCAATACAACGCCCGGCCTATCTTTTGGGACTTGATTTATGCGGTAATATTCGAGGAGTCCGATCCAATTTCATAGTGGAGGCAACTTGGTCCATTGCAATGATTTACAATTTGATCGAATAACATGCTATAAATGTAAAATAGGTTTACTATGCATTTGATGATTTGTATATATTATATATAAAATTCTCGTGTCACAATTTTCGTTCCCATACTCCTCCGAAACGGCTTGATCGATTCTCATGAAATTTTGTTAGCATATTGAGTAGATCTGAGAATCGGCCGACATCTATTTTTAATCCCGTACGGACGGAGTCGCGGGCGACAGCTAGTCTTTTATATAAAATTATCCTGGCACAATGTTCGTTACCATACTCCTCCGAAACAGCTTGGTAGATTTTTACGAAATTTTATATGCATATTCAGTCATGCAGACGAAATCGCTGGCGACAAATAGTTTTTTTATAATTGTCATGAATTGGTTTTTAAGGCACACATTATGAAGTAAATCCTCAAGTTATAAACAAATGAAAAAGTTATAGCAAAATAAATTATATCTTACTTCTTACTAATATTATTACAAATGCGAATGTTTAGATGGATGGATATTTGTTTGAAATTTGGCATAGATGTAGAACATAGTCTGGAAGAAAACATAGGCTACTAATTATGTTTTTATTAATACGCGCGGACGGAGTCGCTCGTGACAGCTAGTCATCGATATCTTTTACAATGATTAAATTATTGAATACCAAAGGCACGCGATTCCATTAGAGGTAATTAAGTGAAATGAATTAGCTCTTTTATGAGTAAAGTGACTTCAATGAAAGGGACACTAATTAAATTTCATTACATTTTAGGTGGAGAGCACTTATGGGCCTGGTGACGGTTGGTGACGGGAGGACGACATCCAATCTGTACAAGCGCTCTCGTATCTCTTCAGACCACGCCATTTGTATATGAAGGACCATTGAACAAAAAATGTCAATCAAATTCTATTTTTTGATTAACATGGCTACCAACAATGATTATTAAAAAAAAGTGATATATTTATATTCTATCATGGATAATTTTTTCGTGGATTGACAAAATATAAAATACGACGAAATACTTTATTTTTTAATATAGTTTTTTTGTAACCTTTTGTGAATCAATGTAATAAAAATAACATAAGCGTGAGAGACCTAATAAGCTATCTTTAAAATTAATCCGGAGACTATTTCAATAAATATTTATGAGAAGAAGCACAAAAATAGATCGATCGCCCCCTAAACGATAGATTGGGTTTTTCTGTTATTATTGCCTTAAATTTTAAGCAAATTTTAAAAAGACTAAAGATAACTTTGATAACCGAAAATAGATCGAGATTGATTATTTACTTCGACCGTAACTGTTTGCAAACCTTAGTTGTGTTAATGACAATAGGATACAGGTAACTAAGTAACCCGGCCACCCACAAGCTAGTAAAATTCTTAGAATTCACCTCTTATCTTGTTTCAAAATGGTTGCCGCCTGACAGCGGTGAACAATCAAAGATTCCTCCACATGTAATTAAGGACTAATTAAATTATGGCTTATCAATACAACAATTTATTTTAATTAGTTTTATTATTTATATGCCCTCTGTTTTTTCTTTTTGAGAAACTGAAGAAGTGTATATTGCATGATTCCAAAGTTCCATAGTCACTTGTGCGTTTTAGTTTCATGCCCCGATGTTACTTTTGTCTGCTATAGTTATGTTAACAATGGACTAAGAAGGTGAAAACAAAATCTATTTTATTTTTGAACAGCTTATCCAAGAGTTTACTTTAAGCTTTGTTGAAATAGTTCATTGACCGGAAGTTACTCGTTATCAGGTCGAAACGAAAAAAAGTCAATAAGAAGCAACGCAAGGAACTTAACTATCTGTGATGTATTTTGCTATGTTGCTGACTTTCAACAGATAAATTTGTCACTAAGAAAACATACCAGTAACAAAAGTTGTCGCCTTACGTTTCATCAAATCAATGTAATTTAAAATTTAAAGTAAGCACCGAACAAAAGACGCTCAGGAAGCTATTGGAGTTGTATCGATTAACAGAAGACGATGCGAACGATTCAAATCCGAAACTGGATAAATAGTCCTCAGCCACTGAGCCGGGATCCTGTGGTTGAATACAAATGGAGCGTTTATCCTGACCGAAGCCAATTTGTATGCAAATTACAGATCCGCTTAACTATCCTCGTTAGTTGCTCATTTTTGAAACATCCTTATTTCCAATGGTTTAATTCTTAATACCAATACAATAACGTTGAACAGCTTACAAAAATATTATTAAAATGTGTTAATAGCACATTTCACTTATCGAAATAATAAATATTTTATTAATGTGTATTATGCATGCTTTGTTTAATATTAGGACACGACTGTTGAAATACGTGACCGACAAGTTTGTTTTTTGTTTGCTTTTTGGAACTAGATATTAGTTCCAAAAAGCAAACAAAAAACACAACAGTACGTTGGTAAGACATTGTTGTCCACAATTTTTATCTTAATTATTATTGCAAGCAAATTCATTTATGTTATTCCTTTTCCGCTTTATAATTCACTCTTTCACTGATTAGTTTCAGCAGCGCCGTTTGTGACTACAAAAGTGCAGTTATAAAAAGTTATATATCTTAAGCCTATCTGCAGCAAGATTTTATAAACTTTTGTTATCAGTTGATCCGACACGGTGTGACAAGAATCGTGCTTTCCATTATAAAGAGAACGAACAAAAACATTCGTTTGCTTTCTAAACAAACAAGGGGTGAAGTCACTAAATAAGTTTGGTCTACAACGATCACTTGAAAGTATTAGTTTTATTATTTTAGTGTGGCCTCAACCAAAATAGAATTTATTAATTAATTACTAAATATGGCACAAGTAAGATGTAAACCATAGGCACATACATTGCACGTCATTTCCACTTTAAACGAATCCAAATCAGCGAGCAATCAAAACCGTTCAATGTGAACATTTTTTTAATAACATAAGTTACGAAAATTAAAATCTGTAAGTTGCCAATTCTAAAATTACTTAAAATTTTAAAGAAATATTATAGTTAAGATCAATTTATCGATAACTTTGTCATCTAAACTTTTAAGAACTGAAGAAGAATAATGTAATTTAAAGAAAAGCACACGTTTTAAAAGGAAAATAAGTTTTGACGATAAAAACAGTACACTCATCACAATTTCTAAAATATTCAAATAAACATGACATAAGATTCGACAATACGAATTCATCAAAGACAAACTCAGTTAATTTCGAATACGCACTTCAATACTCCACTCACAATTAGTACATGCTTCAAATCAATTGCCCATTCCTAAGAGAGCAGCTGATACAATGAACACATCTACAGGAAACTCAGACTTAAGTGGTTGAAGCGAAAGCTTACAATTGAATAACAGATGAATATGCTACTCCCAATGTCTTTATTCTACCCCTCGTTTATCGAATGACTGTCCATATCGTCCATACAGCAGTAATAGTAGGGCTTAATGACAATCAGCGTAATACAAAAGTCATCTGTTATTTCTAAATTTTATTGGTTGGTTTGTTATTTTGAAATGGGCTACGCAAAAGAATTGTACACCGACAAAAACATGTATAGATAGGAAAATACCTCGTTAACAAGTCATGGTCATTGTTATCAGGTTACAAAATAAGAGACCAAATCCCTTGCATGTGATGAATATTACCAGCACGTGTACGCGGTTTTGTGGTTTTACAGTGCTGATAAACAAGCCAACCATAATTCTACTAATAAAGAAAAATAAACAGATTTCACAACATTGCGCATAGAAGTATTTCCATGAATAAATGCGATAATAACATTTTGATCCTCTCGCACCATGAATGGCTTGAACAAAATCCATTTAATTAATATTACTTTGAATATACATATTACATATGTGCAGTGTAACACACTTCACGGAACTCTGCTTATAACTTTCAACGATGAAGTTTCTTAATAGCATAAAACTTTCTGTTAATTGCTAAGGTTTCATTAAATAATTTATAACATGTATCTTTGAACTTACTAAAGTGGATCTTATGATCTACACAACTACCATTTGTGTTCGCTTACAGTATTTTACGTCAGTGTATACTTTTTCTTATGTTCCATTTAGTCTTCTCTCTTGTCTCCTAATTCTTCCGGTGTATCTTTAGTCTGTGTATCTTTCATTGTTTGAGACTTCGCAGTTCTTTTTGTCCTTTATCCCTTTTTGTTAAAATTGTCCTCATAATTGTCAATAATATGACTTATTAGTCATCAATTAATGTTTATTACTAAATATACGGTTGCTTGGACAAAAATATGATCTTAGTCATGGATGAGACGACGTAGCCTGTAAACTTCTGGTCTATTGAGTCATACCTCCGAACAGATTCTTCCTCCTTAGCAGTAGTTGTATTTACAGCTATGTTAATTCTTGCCAGTAGGTTAAGCATAGATGCTCAAAGTTATAATCATAGACCTATTGGTAAAAACTGTATCGTTTCATCATCTAACGATAGTTTTAAAAAAATCGCAAAAACATACAAATGTCATATGTTTTTAATAATTAAAATCATCTGCCCTTATCTGGTTAGTCAATTTTCACAACATCACATCCAAAAATAAACACAAAGAATGCTATCATTCTGTCAATGATATCATTCTGCAGAGTAATGGGTTTCAATTATATAAATTGCGGCTTCCAACCAAAATTATTTACGTTGCTTTAGAATTAACGTATCTTTAAGCTACATATATTTATGAAAGATTCTATTTAGTATAAAAAAAATAATTTATTTTAAGATGGTAAATAACATATTGTACAATATAATTCGTTCATCACTTTTATCTTACTTACACAATGAACTTATATAATGAAAGAAATAAGTTCACAAAATACACTCATAGTAAATCAATAGTCCTCCTTTAAACTGCTAATAACAGAATGTTTCTTTCATTGTTACGCTATGACTAATATTACGTTTGGGCAGTGTTCCACAGTTAACTGTCGATTAGCAACGGAATATTTTGTAAAAATATATATTCGTAACTTAAAATTTATAAGTTACTTAGGAGTTATTTGAATTTATATAGAGAACCCAAATTTCCTTTTATTAGACTTTTTATAAAGGCATCATGAAATTAAATGTTAGGAACCACTAGATTAGGATTCCATCTTACGTCCTACGAATGTTCCACGATAAAGTCCGACAAGGCATGACGAGTGTGATACCTTTTTCATTTTTCACATAATGGTTTCTTTTAGCGGACAAAAGCCCGTTTTATAGTCTCACAATGCGATTGTGCTCTTTTCATCAACGGCACTTTTATGAGCGTCGCGTCAGCTGCGGCTCGCCAAAATTGAGATAGCCACGTTTATGGAGTCCCACTAGCCAACAGTTTAGCGCCGCTAAATCGCTTCACAAATGCTCGTTACAACTGCAATTTACTTTCATTTTGCATTTGACTTTTATATATTTTCACATATTTTGCTTTTTTTCTTCGATAAGCTGCTACCTTCTGCTGCTGCTTCCAATAAAGAAACGCATAACTGCTGATATTATATTTGAGCTGCTAACAAGTATTAACACAGAGGTTAAGTATATAGGAGACAGGGATGAAAATGGATCTAAAATCCCTCCAAGGAAATGTTAATAGGTAGGCACTTATACTTTACTTTATTTTTTGTGAGATAGTATATAGTACTTATTATAATCAATCCAACACGAAGTTACTAAAATGGTTATCAAATTCGCTGTTCTTACTTCTGAGTAACCACAGTTTAATACACCACAAGATGTTACGAGGGGTAGATGATGTTTTGATGTCCAAAACAATCTTATCCGTTGGTTTTGATAAATGAACTAAAATAGCAAATGGCTGGCTTCTTGCCATTATTATTGAACTTTGTACTATTTGGGTGAAATGTAAAGTCTAAAGTCAGATACGGTTGTTTGGAAGTCTATTTCGGTGTTTTGGCACAGGAAGAGATTGTGTTCATGCATACCATGTGTAATCTCGTATTTGCACCAACGCGTATCCGCATGACACTATCCAATAAAATATAAAAAGTAGTAATACAGTAAATAAAGAACAAATCGTATCAATGATATTGTAGCGAACAAGATATGCAAAATAATATAAACAGGTGACATACAACATCCAATCAGAACGATTGTAAACTGTAACGACCTTGAAATGGCACAATTTATTAGCTTTATCACTTATCTAAAGATCTTACACGTGAATTATCTACCTATATTCCTTGCATTTACACCTTAAATAAGAAAAGCGTTAGTTTCCTTTACATAAAACACATCGAGACACAATTTTTAACGTTGTAATTAACTAACAGTAGAACAAATGTAATTGTCTCGTACTTTTAACGTTTAACAGATTGCGCAAACTAATATTGTAAACAAGACACACATTCATTCTATAATAAACAAGTTACGACCACGTGCATACGTAAGAAACCCGTTTGTAATATAAATAAATTACTAGGAACGAAAAAGTAGAAGGGACTGTGCGAACTCAGGTAAAAAATAAAACAGATAACAAAAAGAATATATTTTTTTTTAATAAAGGTTAAAAGAAAGCCTTACAATTATTACATGATTAAAATGATGTCCTTCTAAATATATTTTTTTTATGATTTTATACATGATTAAATTAAAAATAGATAAATACTTACTGCTAGAAGAAACTGCAGTTATATTAGAACCAGTCACTCCAAATGTCTTTGTAAACAAAACACTAAATAAGATATACCACCACATTTTTCCACAATATTTGGGGGCTGCCCGATGACAGCCCACCAAAATGAACATTTTGTCCTTAGAAACTTTTGATTTCGCCAAATTCACTGTGTTGTAACACTTTATAATTAAATCCAATAGGATCCTTCAGTTATATCACTTCAGCAAAATGTATGTTTCACAAAATTACTAATAACACTGTATTATTGTAAAAATACAAGCAACATTTGTATTATTAGTAATTCACAAACGATTATAGGTTACTTTTACGTGCCAGCGGTACGAACGCGACGGCGAATGTCGCGGTCGCACGATCGGCAATCGGCGGGCAGGTGTGAGACGAGAGTTGTACTATCTGTGAGACTAGATGGCGCTGGCGGTATACGCGTGACGTTTAGTTTCGGCGACTGAACCGTGGCGCCGCGCTGCTGATTCTAGCTACAGATTTTTCCTAACGCAACACACCAACACAACTTAAAGCAACGTTTACATGCTATAGTTACTGTTTTTAGATATGAAACGCATATTTATTTGATAGCTTTGCCCAGATTCAGACGGAAATACTGAAAGAAATCTAGCTTAAATCTTTAAGTTACGTAATGAGAAAGTGTTTTGAAATTTACATGTTTTGGTTACTAATAAATATTTTTTCTTACTAAATAATCGACAAAAATTTCCATTTACTGTATTTTGATATTTTATTAATTTACCTGACTTTCAAATTTTATAAGAAAAGGTATTTTAAGGAGATATCAAAAATAAATTAATAGATTACAAAAATTATTTCAGTACTAAAATCGTTAGTGTGATCCAACCCTTACTAAGGGTAAGAATGCGCGCGCACCCCATACAGGCGTCAGAAGATGCGGGGGTGTGGCGGCCGACTCACGCACGTCTACCACCACGCAACTGAGAGATAACACTGCCTCATAACCGACCAACTTGAAGACGACATAATGTCACGCGCAACAGCGTTCAACACTTGACCTATATACCTCAGTAGCATTATATAGAAATAACTAACCTAGAAATGTATTTTAACTCAACAAAACTTTCAAATGTTAATTTTAGTTCAAAATGAATAATTTATATTGTTAATAATTAAACATTTTGTTTGCAAGGCTACATAATATCAAATAGTGGATTGTATTTAAAGACTGAATACGATTTGACGTCATAACCTAGTCTCTATATTATTCTATGAATTAATCACTTACACTCTTGCACAAAAAAATTGAAACTTGAACTGTTGAAAATTCTAAAATAAACTCATTTTAGTGGTGGCCGCTTTCACTAATTAATTTTTTACCCAACCTTACTTCTTTGCGTTTAATCTCGGCAAGGAAACCCTTACTTGACTTTTAAACTTTTGAAAGGGTTTGATGAAAGGCATTTTCGTTTAAGCAACTAATTTATGCTTTCATTTTAATTAATCAACCTAATTAGCAGAAACTAAAGTTAGCCTATACTTCAAACCGAACTGAAGTTTTCTTTTTATCCTGTAATAAGTAAATTTAGCCTGTGGCGTTAAAGATTAGTTATTTATAATAATATTAAAGGAATAATTTGATTGTTTGTATGTTTTTAATAGGCTATTAAAACTATTGAACCGATTTGAAAAATTCTTCCACAGTTGGCAAACTACACTATTCCGAGGTGACATTGACTATTTTTATTACTAGATTTTTTTAATTCCGCGAGGACGATTCGCGGACAATTACTAATTAAATAAAATAAATATCATAGCAATTTGAAAAACTCTGGTTACTTAATCTAGTAATTGTTACTTTTTATATTTTACCGGCAAAGCAAAGGTCTCATATGAAATTGTTGTATATTGGGCTTAAGGGGCTTTCGATTCAGGATTCTTATTATTATAGACGAACCATGTAATATTTTCTTATATTTTACGTACCAAAACAAAACTACGTTAACGTTTCGTCCGTTAGGGATTGTTTCATTTAGATAAATGGCTTCACCTAAAACTAAAGATTCTATTACATATATAAAACCTCTTTCTTGTGTTTTCATTGAAGTTAAAATATCTGAATTATAAGCAACGTGAAGGTTAATAAAAAGTATTTTAATACTCATGGAATGACAAAAACGCCCCATGTATGAGTTTAAGTAATTAAACAGATATTTAAATAGATTAACGCCTTGAAGTTCTGATTGCTGATTTCAGTAATATTTGCTTTCGTTTTTATTCACTGACATAAAAGTCTGACATGCAAATTTTTTTTCGTATTTATTTTTAACATCTTGAAAGTTGTAGAATGACTACTAATAATGTACAAAATGTTTAATTACTTGTACTAATTACTTTATGTACTTATTTGGTAAATGAAGAAAATTAAAAGTTCAAATTTTTTTGCCGTACTGATTAACAGTGTTTCTAAATAAAAACGTGTTATTTAAAATAGATTAACTTAATTTACCGTCGAAGCTCGATTTTTCCAGAATGATCTAAGAGCTTTTCACGCACGGCGTGTCAAGTAACTCAGTCTTCCTAAACTCTTGCCGTTACATTAAAGAGCATGATTTTGAACGAAAGTAGTTTTTTATTTATTATCGGAAGAAGTTGCTGGATGTGACTCGTATTATGGCATTGTCATTTTATAAAAAAAACAGCACCTACGGAATAATAATAGCAATCTGCTTCATTTTACAAAAATAACACAAATTATTTTTTTTATCACGTAGTAAAAATAAAGAATCTTACCAACGTTATTAAACATTAATATGAAAAAGAACTAAAAATATATTTAACTAACTTTAAGTGAATATCTTCATAACTCCTTAAGGTATAGTTCTGCATGTTAACGATAAATTTGCATAAGTAGAAGGTAACTCAAGAAAAATATATTTTAAAATCATAAAAGTAGAAAGTGGTTTGTCGCAAGGAATTGGGAAATGGAAAAAGTACTGAAAATAATTTTCAATTTTGGAAGAAAATATTTCCTCAGAAAAAAAACTTAAGCGCGACCTAGTTTGCCCACCGGGCACATTATTTCGTTACTAAACTAAACACTGTCATCTCTTGACGTAACTAAATACAGTTTTTACCGTTGAAAGAACATTTAAAAGTATTATCAAAATATTAGTATTCAAGTAAGATTCTAAAGCGAACAATTCTAAGTATAACATTAACTAGCCTAACAAAGTAAGACGACTTAATTTTGGTTTTGTTATAAAAAGGTCTTCAGTAACGTATTTTTTCATTTCATCCCCTCAACCCAACATCAAGTAGTGAATGTTATTCTAATGATTATTTTCATTAAGATATTTTCCTAGAAGCAAATTTAACATAAAGGAGAAATTGGCCCAAACAGACCTTAGTATACTCGAAACCTCAAGAAAACGGAAGAGTTGAAAGCCCTCATAGTAAATGGAACAAGCCTTCGCAAATACCCATTAGGTAGTTACAGGAAGCACGAAAAAAAGGTTGAAGTGGTGACCCAACTCAAGCCTGCGCATCTATAGATAAATAGGCTTAACTTGAAGTTGATATCATGAGATAAGACATAAAGTGTTTGCAAAAGCAGCAAACTTAATAAGTTTTTTTTATATCATAAGGTGGCAAACGAGCGAGCGGCCACCTGAAATCGCTGAAATAGCGAAGTGACCGTTGCCCATAGACATGCAATTGTATATGCGTTGCCTATATGTATGTATATGCGATGAGAGGATGCACAGAAAGAAAATATTTTCCCTTTCCATGCATCCTCTCATCCGGAAAGTCCACTTCCACTTCCCATCCTTTCCTTATAAGAAAAAGGGTGGGAAGGGAAAGAGGACTAATTTTGGCCTACGGGACGCACACTCATCAGACGAAACGCGGAATTCCTTCCACTTCACGCCTGTCTTCTGTGTGGTCGTGGTATTTCACCAGGCGAGCCGGGCCGATTCGTGCGAACATGTTAAAGCGGGCTCTACCACTGTTAAGTGAAAAAGTTAAATAATATAAATAACTCACTATACAATACAGGACGCATAGGAAGGGAACATGCCCACTTTCTGTGCGTTCCTTCTTCTTCTGTCGATTAAACGTTGACAAAGCATCTGCTATTACTATGTATATTTCGGAGAATTCTATTGGCCGCTTGCTCGTTTGCTACCTTATAAAAAAGCTTTTTCTCTAGTAGTTTTGACCGCTATCATACTATAGATCGAAGTTTTATAACTACATTTTGAATAGGATATAGGTACATTTATTCCAAATTGGAGAATCCTTGTTTTGATTCAAACAATTATAAGTTATAATTGTCTAACCAATGTTGGAAATGTTTTATTTTAAGTTTCTTAAAGTCTATTTTGTTTTCCTTAGTAGATACTGTTAACGATTTATCATTCAAGGATTGTACAATTTATTTTACGACTCTTTTTTTAACCTTTGATGAATTTTGTAAATTACCGAACTTTACCGAATTTAATGGTGCCCTAAATCTTTTGATTGTCACCTAATAAAGTTTTTGCATTACCTTTTTGAACTATTGTATGTCTTGAAAAAATTTGAAATGTCTCTGCAAAATCAATTTTGAATTTAACAATGTTTTCTGAGCAAATTGTACATTTTGCTCGAATGCAATTATGGAAATGGATGGCGAAACTTGTCGAACGTTATCGACAACTTTTAGACATATTGCTGGTGATTTCTTTAACTATTTATTACTTAAAAGCTTATATTATATTATAATCAATGAAAATATATGTAATAGTAATGTTCGTATCGTCATTATAAATACTTTCTGTGGGTTTCTGAGACCAATATTTCCGATTAAAGCATATTTTTATCTCTGTTTTGTCAAAGATAATGACAGGGATGACGGTATGTTTTATACAGAGATTTTGATCACTGAAACTCACGATTAAACTTTTCTCAAATAAAGTCAATAATTAAATTGTCGGCCAGAGTAAAGTGTAAATATTATTTCTCATTTCCATTGAATTCGACTAAAGATATATTTAGTACACTAAAGTTAATTCTTTTTTTTAACTTCCTTGGCAATAACATTTATCGATAGTTACCATCGTCTATAAAATGTCATTTTTAAATTGCTTTATTAAACTTAGTTTTAAATTATTTATTGGTCACAAACTAGTTAAGTTTACTACGTTCAATGCAATTTATACGTTTGACTTCCTTCCGGCTTTCTTTCTGTAGGAAGTTAAGCGAGAAAAAGCAATGCGAGAAACCATAAAATATTTAACGTACTAAGATTGCGTCATTCCCTCAAGTTAGAGTTTCCTTTACTGTTTAAATAATGTACCGTTAAAACATAGCACTTAAAAAGTTAAGACTAAGTTCTAAC